CCCTATATGGATATTATATTTCTGAAACAATTATATTTTCTTTTTACTTGTTCATTCACTCTTTTTTTAAAAAAAAATGATTAATTTTGTTTAAAAAAATAATCCTGCAAAGAAATTTAAACCAAGTCCCCCTGATCACACATTATTTTAAATCATAAATTCTATCACGTATGTATTATAGCATGTGTTCTAAGATGAATTACATTGAAAAGAAATCAAGCTATTTGGGGAAAAAAATCAACATTGTTTTTTAAAAATGGCAAAAGCACTTCTTTATTGTAAATTTACTCTGAAAGAATACATCTCTGCTCAATATATATATATGAAAAACATTACTTACCCATACAAAGGACCATCATTTCCAATAGCAGAGATCATGATAACGTTATTGGCTGTCAATTCCCACACCTTGGAAATGAAAACAATCAGATGTTAGAAACACAGGGATTAGCTACCTCAAGACTTAATATTCAGAGAAGGTTATATTGTAAAGCAATCCAGGTTTGATTGTATTGATAATAATAGTACTGTATTCCCCATGCTATTATCTTGTGTAAAACCAAAATATTGAATTATTGAACTAAATCTTCTAAGACAAAAGGAAAAAAAGTCTAATTGCTACCTGTCTCTTCCCCCCCCCCCCCCCCCCCCCCCCCCCCACGCTGTACCAACCTTGTCTACAAACGGACGGTCCATAAAATCTGGGCCTCCAATGCTAAGATTCAACACTTCGATCTTCTTTAAGATAGCATAGTTGAAAGCATCCAAAAACCAAGATGTATATGAAACCTATTTAAAAATAAAACAGGTCTTAATATTAAACATCACGACAATAACAACAATCCTCAAGGCGTTATCTGTCTGACCTCTTCATGCACATAGAAGGGGAGCCAACACTACCCAAAATTAAGGCGACAGGGAGGTTCCCTGTAATGACCCCAATATTATAAAGAACTTTGCCCTGGGAAGGGAAGGGAAGGGCGCTAGAAATTCTGGCAGATGCAATCTCCCTGTACCTGGAGAACACAAGTTTAAGGAATGCTGCACTGACTTCTCTTTATATTTACGTGCCACCTCTTCTCCAGGTATTGAAATGGCACCTGCAGCATTCCCTCCTCCCATTTTTATTTCCATCACAAACTTAGGAAATAAGATTAGGGACTGGTCCAAAGGCCTCCAGGGAGTTTCCACGACTTGGGATGGATTGCCCCCCCCCCCCAGTCTTAATCTAACTCCTTAACCACTATGCTATATATTGGTCCTCTCTTTACCTGATTGTTAGTGAAGACCCTGAATATATGCAGTTCGGAGTCTGGAGCAAATCCTTGGCACTCCCTCATGCTAGCTATCACGCCTGCGACAAAGGTTCCATGGCCCAGGCCTGTCGTAGATAAGCCATCAAATAAAATACAAAATTACCACTGCAACATGCAACGGAGAATTCAAACTGGTAAAAGAAAGTTTTGGTTTTGGTGTTGTTTTTTTTTACCATCGTCCAGAGTTCTCTCATTTGTCCAGTTTGTCCTCTCTTTTACATTTTTGAAGTGTGGATGTTTCTCGCTGAGTCCAGTATCAAAGACAGCCACTCTTACACCACCTCCTATTTGTACAAAAGAAGGTTTACACAATCGGGGATTAGCACGAGAGATCCAGTTCCGATGGCGTTTTAAGAAACAATTCCTGCGTGCCTACGCTGTATAGAGAAATACATAATGCCGATGCATAAAAGTTTTCATGGAAATATTTTCCCTGCTTTAAGAGTTTAGCAGGTTGCCTCAGCAGCTTTACGACAGGGAGACTTCAACTCCCAGAATTCCCCAGCCAGCATGACCACAGAAAACTTTGGCCCCCTCGGAGAGGGTACGCAACTTGGGCGTCCTCCTGGATTCGCGGCTGACGCTGGAAGACCATTTGTCGGCCGTGACCAGGGGGGCGTTTTATCAGGTACGCCTGATTCACCAGTTGCGGCCTTTTCTGGACCGGGACGCCCTGCGCACGGTCACTCACACACTTGTTACCTCCCGCCTGGACTACTGTAATGCTCTCTACATGGGGCTCCCCTTGAGGAGCACCCGGAGGCTCCAGCTGGTCCAAAATGCGGCCGCGCGGGCGGTGTTGGGGGGGACTCGGCGCTCCCACGTGACACCGCTGCTGCGCGAGCTACATTGGCTGCCTGTGGCCTTCCGGGTGCGCTTTAAGGTGTTGACTATCATCT